TTACAAAAATAATAATAATAATTTGTTATACCTTATGCTTCTTTTTCCCAAGAGACTGTAGAACTAGCCCATGTAAAAAAACCCTTAAGAAATCAGTAGGGGGCAGTATGTTAATTACAACTTGCAGGTGGGAAAATTCAGGCTTTGAATTTTAAGTTTCACTTGTCCTCAAAATACTCATGTGTTTACATAAGTTACAGTTATGTTATTTTGAGCCCTATTGTTTAGGATAACACAAAGAGGCTGAACCATGTTAATATTCAAAAATTCCAGTACTAAGCTATTTGAAGGAAAGGCAAGAAATTCACATTTTATGCAAGCAGCATATAAGAAACACTTGTGGTTTTTCTCCAAACCAAAAAATACAATGTTAACACCACTGCTACTTTTCACACATCTTTGTGTGATCTTTGAAAGTTTCACAGACCAAGTAATGTTTTGTTTCCAAATGTGAATTCATTGTAAGTGGCTTGTCATTGTAAGGGGCTAATTTGACAGCACTCAAGGTTGCAGCAGTAATTGCCCTTACTTGTTAAATATTCTAGCAGCATTTGCTGCAGTGCTGAAAGTTTTATGATGATTATAAGAGGATATTCATTTTTTCTCCCGTGGCTCACTTCATTTTAGTTTCAGAACATTTAGGAAAATGGTCCTTGACAGGTGTGAACTTGAATTTTAAGAGAATTGACAAATAAAGTAAAAAAGAAGAAAAAAATTCAAGAATGAAATACACTGGGGAAGCTCTTAAAATAAAAAACGTTAGCATTCCTTCAGACCAGATGAAAAGGTGTCCGTCCCCTCGAATCCCCTTCAGTGTGCGATGGCATAGACCTGTGTAAACCCAGGGATGCAGGTGGCTGAAACTGGCCAGCCAGGTAATGTCAAGGCAAATGTGACTGAATCCCGAGGCCATGCTCTGCCAGCCTAGGTTCTGAACAATGGTATCTTCCCAGACTGATAATTCATGATACAGAGAAGTTTCCAAAGGCCACCTATTATGGGGACCGGCTGTAAGTTTTAGAAAGAACCAGAATTCTGAGTTATTTTCCAATTATGTCTATATGGGGTCTCAGCCTAAAGGAGCTTCTAGGTCAGTGATAGAATCTAGACATGTTAGTTCTTTGAATAGCTAACTACCATACTAGCTTCTGATAAGAAAGATTAACACATTTTAATCTGATCTCTGGAGTTACAGGCTCAAAACATTGGACTTAACCCATTCAGCTGAGGCAGGAAATAGTTCTCTATTTCTTAAGGACTATTAGATTTTGTCATACTCCAAAGATTAGTTACAAAAGGCCCTTTCTCTCCAGAAAACACTGGTTCTATGTGCAGGAAATAAGATACAAATCCACCCTGCCAGTACACCCCCTAGTGGAACTTCAGCATAGTACAAGTTTGGGGGTCCAAAAACAACCTGGATATTTCGGACTTTCCCAGGTCCAGTGACTGTAGCTGCACCACAGTCACGTCTTCTACTTATTAGTGAGCATACAACAACAAGCAAACAAACATACCATGTCATCTGTACATTTATCCACATAGGTAGATCTCTGGGTTAGACACATGCAAATAGACTACTTATCATAATTGAAACAGGCTTAATTTTAGTTTCTGAAAGAATTAAAGCAGAAATTTTTGATAAATTTGCTATTAATATTTCTCAACTCAAGAAAAAACTTAAATGTAAAGGAGTTTCCTACTTAAAATTCTTCTAACTCTCAAGTGAGGCTATTAAATTTTCTAATTGTCATGGCTTAGATATGTTCAAGTTACTAAAACCGATTCACTAGAATTTGCCAAAGATCTTGAAAATCTGAAGCATGATCAGAGTAAAAACAAATGTAAGAGAAGAGAATAAACAGAGTGTGAGCAGTTAAGTATTAACCATAGGGTTCGTAGTGACCCAATCCTGCAATGAATGGCTAAGGACTCTGCCGGGGCACTCTGCATTCAGTCTTTTTGAGAAAGCTATTCAGTTAGTGTTAGCATTAGCATGGGTTACACAATGCTTCCACTTTGACATATCCTATAGATTAATTTCTATTTGGGCAGATAATGGATAAAGCCTGGTATGTAGAGATAATGAGGCAGAAAAGAACAAATACCGACTTTGCTTCCTTCCAGGAATTGAGATAAATGGCACAACTCACTACATGATCAAACAAGAAAGGGCCATTCCCTGAGCCAAGAATTTCATGGCTATTTTACAGGGACTGCCACCTTAATATATAAAGATATTATTAAGTGAACATGAAAATATTTTGAATTTGTGCTTTTCTTTCTCAGGAGTAGTGAGAGATTTTTTCTGAACTATTCAACTTCTGCTGTCTTCAAGTAAAACAAGACTCAAATAGCAGAACAGCTAAGCAGAGGCTCTTGTGTGAAGCGTAACGTGCAAGGCTCTCCCCAGGCACAGTGAGGAGTCCAGCCCGTCTGAAGTTTACAGTAGATGAGGGGATAAAATAGGTTCTGACCTGGAAAAGCAGGTGGAAATCAGCTTTGGAAGGCCCGGGATGCCATGCTAATGAGCCTGGACTTCACGCTGTGAACAATATGGTCAAACAAGGGTTTTAAGCAGGCAGATAACAAACTCAAGGCTGCTTAGATGACCCTAGGTTGGAAAGCAAAAATGAACACAGGTAAAGAAGATCACAAGCACTTTTAAGAGTCCAGGCAAGAGGTGATGGAGGCCCACAGGAGGAAATAGGAAAGGAAAGGAGGGATATATTGGAACACAGGGGGGCAAGAGAATAGTTGGGATTTGGGGACCCATGAATGTGTGCAGGCTGGACAGGTGAACATAATGCTGATGTTTCTAAGCCTGGTGACCAGAAAAAGGAGCAAAGAAAGAGGAGTTTGTTCAGTTTTGTGACATGCTGCTTTAAGAGTGTGTGTGGAGCAGTCAAGGTAGTTCTATGAACTTGAGAACTATCCTAAAAATCACAGTTGAAGCCACTGAAATAGATTACCCAGCTACATGGAGGTTCTGAGTGAAAACAGGTCTGAGCATACAATACTAAACAGTCATTACAATTCAGAGGTGGGGAGTCTTAAAGGATTTGGAAGGCAGACAGAGAAGCAGGACAAAGTGGGCTTATCATGGAAGCTAAAGCACTTGAGTTTCAAAGAGACGGTCAAGAGGGTCACATTCTGTAGAAAGACAAAGCTACACACAGGATTTGGCAACAAGGGGAGCATTGCTATTTTTTTTTCATTCAGGTTAGAAATTACAACATTGGTTATTAAGCAGTATTTTTTAAACAACTAAGATAAACAAACACAGATTAGAACATATCAAAGATGTTGGGGAACTTTTTATCTGATATAGCATCTGGCTCCCTATTCATAACAGCTGCTTTAAGTGATATTTTATTATGTCATAGATTTTGATTTCTAGTAGCAATAGATTTGGGCCCAGCATGTAATATATCAAATACAGAAACTCAGAGTTCAATGAGCATGTGATCCTATTTTTCATACAGGTATACAGTCCCAGGTATCAAGCCGTTGCTATCACAAAAGAGATGTTTTACTCAGTTTGCAACTGTGACTACAAGAATAAGATGAAGTATGCTTACCCCATGTCAAATTACAACTCTGTTTAAGACATTGAAAGTACTTCTAAAGTTCAAACATTTTAATACTTATGACATATATTTAATAATAGAAACCAGTTCTAGCGGAGATGTTTAAAAATAGGCCATGAATTCCAAGTGTTTTAGTGGCTATCTCAAGATAGGGAATCAATACTCTTTATTGTCTTACAGTTATTATGGTCAGGAGGAAGAAATACTGTCCAAATATTTTTATGAGTACTTTAGAAATGATTTTTAAAATTCTAAATCTAAGAAGCCTTGAACAAACTAGGTTTCTCTAACCAGAGAACAGAAGAATGCAGAATGTGCGATTAAAAACCAGTAAATCACATAAGAACCTAAACATTAATGATTAGGGACCATTCATGAGATATTAGGTACAACCATAGCACTAATGTCTTTAAGTGCTACATTACTCAGATCTAGCTGGTGGGCTTTTACTTTTCCTGGATAGATTTTAACTAAATAGACTTTAGACATTTGGATATAGATAAATGCTTAATTCAGTAATTAGTATTTTAAAACTGTGAAACCTTTTAAGTTAAGTGGTCTATTAATTAACTACCAATTATCTTGTCTGACTACCATATCAATAGAAGTAAATTACCTACTAGCTATTTGACAGATTTAGTCCTTTACCATGCAAAAATTCTTCAGAACATAAAAGGCCTGGAGTTAAATGCTTTTGCTTCCCCCTTTTGGTTAAGCAGGAATCAATTTGCTGCTCACGTATAAAGGCCAAATGCAGCTCTTTGGTTGAAAAAGGATCTACATATAAACTTTGGCTTTTAGAAATAGTGAGCTAAGATTCTACTCTTCTTAAAAAATAACAAGTAAAGCAATGTTAATATTTTGAGAGAAACATGGGTTTGCATGGAGACCAGCATTCCATATTTCAAAGTAGAATACAGAGAAGTATTTTTCTTTTCCTTTTGAGATAGGGTCTGGCTCTTGTCACCCAAGCTGGAGTGCAGTGTTGTGATCTCACTGCAGTCTGCATCGCTTGGGCTCAAGCCATCCTCCCACCTCAGCCTCCTCAGGAGCAGGGACTACAGGCACATGCTGCTACCACACCCAGCTAATTTTTATATTTTGGTAGAGACAGGGTTTAGCTATGTTGCCGACGTTGGTCTTGAACTCCTGGATAAAAGTGATCCACTCTCCTAGGCCTCCCAAAGTGTTGGGATTACAGGCTTGAGCCACTATGCCCTGCCCAAGAGAGGTAACTTTCAAGTTTTTACATCTCACCCAGATACAGCAAGCCCACATGAATAATTTCTATGCTAGTGTTAAAGTGCATGATAGTGCATTCATTTTCCATGGTCTTGTACCGAGTGTTTCACAGTAGATTGTGCTGACTAGAACCTACCCCAAATCTATCACTTCTTGACTGTTGACCAGGAGAAGCTTCCTAGGAGAGCTACTGGTGATGGAACAACACTGGAAGGTGAAGTGTCACAACAAACTGGAAGGTTGTGTAGAATTATGCCAGGCCAAGGAAAGGCTTCCAAAGGGTACAGAAATGGTACATGGCTAAGAAGAAAGGAAAGAATTGCTATGGGGGTTCTCTTTTTGAGGGCTGATCATTGGTGAATATAAATGGCTGTTACACATTCAATGTGAGCTTGATTCAAATTAGCATACCAACACCACCCTTCTCAAAGTCACTAGCCTCACACCGATGAGCAGAGTTCTAATACACTATAGTAAAAATGGGAACACATGTGGGACAGGGAGAATGAAAAATTATGCAGGAAAGCAAAAGAAAATATAAGACAGCCTTGTTTTGCAATAATGGTCTTACACAGCTTTAGTCCAACATATTGCTCACCTTTTTCCTTTTTTTTTTTTTTTTTTGAGATGGAGTCTCACTCTGTCACCTAGGCTGGAGTGCAGTGGTGCCATGTCTGATCACTGCAACCTCTGCCTCAGCCTCCTGAGTAGCTGGTACTACAGGCTCACAGTATCATACCCGGCTAATTTTTTTGTATTTAGTAGAGATAGGGTTTCTCCATGTTGGCCAGGCTGGTCTCAAATTCTTGACATCAAGTGATCCACCTGCCTTGGCCTCCCAAAGTTCTGGGATTACAGGCATGAGCCACCACGCCCAGCCCATAATGCTTACCTTTAAAACCTCAGAACATAGACCCATGTGAGTATTATCTGAATAGGTTATCTTCTAAACATTTAAGCCTATTATTATCAAATATTTATTAAGTGACTTAAGAATAGAGTTTTGTTCCAGGCAGAGGAAAACAAAAGATGTATACAACAAACTGCCTTCAGACAGCTTGCCATGTACTTTGGGAGAATGACAACAAATCCTGTGACAGATTAATGGAAAGAAAAGAAAAACCTTAGACAAGTCATTTAATCCCTGCTTCACTGGAAAACAAAAAGGTCTCTGGATTCTTGCAAACTCTAACATCCAAAAAGGCCAGAAATGCTGCAACGGGGAGGAAAGGTTATATTGAGAACTTCAGCTGAGCCTTAAAAGACACGCGGAATGGAGGAAGAGGGTGTTTCAGGTAGGGGGAATAGTATGCAGACTGGTTTGGGAGTGCCCACAGCTTTTCAGTGAAAGTCCACATGGTTTTCTATTTCACTCACTTTTGCTCTGAGTCAGGATGAATATACTATTTGTTATTTATGAAAACAGATATTAACCGTTACTTAAACGTCTGGCTCAGGATGATCTGTTCAAATGACCGAACAGTTCTTTGCTCAGCAGATGGACTTTTAAAAATGCATGGGGTAACTTCTTTTCCACACCCAGATACAGTAAAAAGACACACTCATTATTTTTTCTGGAAAGAAAATAGCATGTGCCAATATCAACACATCTTTGAAAAGTTGCTACCAACATTTTGCCTAAGAGGACTACTGGAAGGGAAGCTGAATTCAGGTGGCTCTTATAACGTTCCTTAACCCCTGTTAAAAAATTCACTGTAAAAATTATACTGCATTGGCCGGGCGTGGTGGCTCAAGCCTATAATCCCAGCAGTTTGGGAGGCTGAGGCGGGCGGATCACGAGGTAAAGAGATTGAGACTATCCTGGCCAACATGGTGAAACCCCTTCTCTACTAAAAATGCAAAAAAAATTAGCTGGGCATGGTGGCGTGTGCCTGTAGTCCCAGCTATCTGGGAGGCTGAGGCAGGAGAATTGCTTGAACCCAGAAGGTGGAGGTTGCAGTGAGCCAAGATCGCACCACTGCACTCCAGCCTGGGCTACAGAGCAAGACTCCAACTCAAAAAAAAAAAAAAAAAAGAAAAAAAAAAAAAAAAAAAAAAAAAAACCATATATATATACACATACACACACGTACTGAGTTTTCTTTTAAATTTTGGTTGCTGAATCAGAATTTCTCAAAAAGATTTGTAAATTTCAGCAAGAAGTCAAATTCCAACTCTATAATGAATTTTCTGACTCAATATTGAAAATAAATTCTTAAGTTTAGATGCTTAGAGGAAAAACAGCTGGAGAATTCAGGAGCCTCCCATATTTTAATACAAAGTGACGTCATTACCGTCAAGGCTTCCAAGAACTCCCTAAATTGTGTGGTTAAGCAACATCTCAAAGCACAGTGATGACTCTAGGAAGGTGCTCCTTGGTATACAGATTCAGGTCCAGGATAATTTTTCTATTTAGAGATTTGATTTGATTTCCTCCTTATGTTAAAAAGTAGCCTAATATTAAAAAGACAGTAAGTTAGCACTCATTTTATCCAGTGTCTTCCTGGATCTGCTTTCTTGTTTTAAGTATTTAACAGCAGATTGTACGGGGTTTCTTAAAAAACCTGATTACATTTGAAATTTTATGATTCAGCAAAATAATCATGCAGAGAAAGTAGGCAAGATGGCTAAACTTCAGAATACTGGCTGTAAGTAAAAGTTTACAGTTTGGTAATCTTGCATCATCTTAGTCAAAGGTTACTGGAGAAAGCAATCCCAGTCAGTGTCTGGTTCATAATGAACCTATCAATAGTGCTGTAACTGTTTAAGGCTGACTTAAGTCAACTGCAGTTTTTACGGCAGCTTCATCCTTACCATTCTTCAAATATGAAAATGACGCTCTGCCTCCCCCTTATGTATGTATTTCATTTCAAATGGTAGTTGTTTTACTCAGGATTAATCACAAACATACATAGAATTGATAAATTCTATTCCAAGCTTATTTGGTTGAACTGCCTTTTACTCATCTAACCCACCCCTTTGACACCTGCTGCCTGTTCCTGGGAACCCAGCAACACGAAGGTCTTCAATTCAGTTCCCCACCGCCACTGAACACAACACACACCTACAGGCAAGCTTAAGTTCCCCAAACCGTATTTGATGATCTCCTTGCTTGTTTAAAACATAGATAAGTTAGGTCAGGTCATTTGTATATTCATTTCTAGCGGTTTGGAAATGAATTAAATAAAGTTCATGTTGGCCGAGTACAATGGCTCATGCCTGTAATCCCAGCACTTTGGGAAGCCGAGGTGGGCAAATCACCTGAGGTCAGGAGTTCCAGACCAGCCTGACATGGTGAAACCCTGTCTCTACTAAAAATACAAAATTAGCCAGGCGTGGTGGCACATGCCTGCACAATCCCAGATACTGAGGTAGAAGTTGCAGTGAGCTGAGATCATGCCATTGCACTCCAGCCTGGGCAACAAGAGCCAAACTTCATCTCAAATAAATAAATAAATAAATAATAAAATACAGTAAAGTTCATGTTTAGAAATATAACATTAAAATAAGCTTCCTCCAAGAGCAGAGAAAAAGTTTGATGTTTGAGGAACAACATTTGAATAAGTACTTCTAAAGCCAGATTAAGTTTTTAAGCAGTTGCTAAAAAATTAATGAGGTTTAATGTGACCTATTTAGGAGAAACGGTTCTTTGCTGTGTTCTATTAGAAGGCTAATCCGCCTATGGAAAAAAAAAAAAAGTAGAACCCTATTTCTTTACTCCTTCTTTATTGACTCTTACCTGTCTACAAAAGTAAAGGGAAAATACTGCGAGGAAAAAGAGCATAAAGTGGGTCAGCAGTGTACAGTTATAGGGGAGAGAGTCACACCTACCTTTACTGAAGACAAGTTGAGCTGAAAAATCGGGGTTACTTTTGCCCCTACAGCAGCAGAAGGCCCTGTTCCCCTCTGTAGATGCTGACGTTGTTTAATGGTTAGAAGTGGACATCGTTTAAATCCCCAGCTTACCAGGTTTCATCACCCCACTTCCCTCTCTAGAGTCCTATCAGGATGATATTTGCGAGGCACTGTCTAACCCAAGAGAGTCCTGAGGTGTCCTCCAACAGGAAGATGCCCTGGACCCTGCGGATGGATGGTCAGGGGATGTGATGTGACTGCCAGGGTGGCCTGGTGACTCCCAACAGACCACAAATGCTGACTTCAGAATCTCTGGCACTTTCCAAAATGTGGCTGAGCAGTAATTTGGAAGCCTAAATCCTGACTTCAGGAATTCATAAGAACAACCAATGTTTTATAAACTCAACAGAAAGTAAAATAAACAAACCCAGGGTTTTACGCTCCCTCTTGTTATTTTTATGGCAATCTTTCAAACTAGTTCAAAATGTTCAATCCTCTGCCCTCTCAAAACTACTGAGTTGGGGGATGGCGGGGACAAACAACTAAATAGTAACCAGCATGCACTGCAATTCACCATAGGGAAGAGCTAAGGAGATCTGGTGGTGAAAGAGTACAGGTGGCTTTCAGGCTGACATTGAAGTCTCTCTCCTTCCCAACTTTCTCACTGAGGAGGGCCCAGCAAAGAAAACAAGGATGTTTATATTTACCCAGAAGTGTGCATGGCAATTGACCATCATGGTTCTCTCAATTAGCTCATCAGGACATTCCAGAAGGTGATGCCCAGAGACCACACCAGCATTATTGACCAGGACCGACACTTCGCCAACCTCCTTGCGCACTCTTTCAGCTGTCAGGTAGACATTCTCCCTCTTCCCCACATCACAGGTGTAGGTAAAAACCTGCAAGTTACAGTGGGGCAGAATTTCTTCCTCACCATTCCCAGCTGTCCTCAGAAGTCCAGATGAGGAGAAAAAAAATGGAAAAGAGAAGGGAGTGCAGAAAGTGAGTCACATGGCGATCAGTAGGACAAAGATCACACAAAACAAAAATACTACAGTGAGCTTCAAATTTCTAACGCTGCAAGGCTTGCCAACGACTGAGCTTACAGCTGCTTTCCTCCCATGAAGTCTCTGGGAATTACAGCAATTTACTGGATAACTTTGCTGAGGGGAAAGTCATGTAATTGTGACAACCCCAATACAAGTAGACCACATGGGATCAGCTTGCTGGAGCTAAAGACACCTGCAAAGAACTGATCTCAGCCCAGAGTTCAGAGAACACACACACACTACATACTACTCTTTTTGGGGGAAACAGTGGCCAGAAACAGCTCTTACTCTTTATTATGAGAACCCTCAAAATGGAAACTCACTTTAAGGCTCACAAATCAAAACTGCAATTAGTAATCTGAAAGCATCCAAAGCCACGAAATGAATCCACAATTTCTAATGAAGAAGTAGGCGTCACTGGTTTGTTCTAACTGGGGTAGCCAAGTTCTCTGAGAAGTATTCTCACAAATCAAGTTATAGGTAAATATACAATTTTACCACATAAGAACTTGACAATTTAAAAACCAAAATCGGTATCCTGGAAAATGAATACCCTCATCTTTTAGGTTTTGGCAGGGAGCACAAAAATCTGTATTTGCTACCCCTCCATATCCCCAGTGAAAATGGAACATTTTCACCCTTAAATTAAAAAGGCAGGTATCAATAAGCTTTGTGATAAATTATCAATACAGGGGAGAAGTCGTGCCCAAGTCGATTTTCTCCGTACAGGTAAATGTCTTCCCTAAAATGAAAAATTTTGTTAAAACGCAAAAGCCATTATCAAATTTTCCGGACCAATACTTATGATTGGTTATGGGCTTTGCTTTGGCTTAAAAAAAATCTCGAGTTCAGGTTAGTTAACAAGTATACAGAAATGCAGATTTCCTGGGGTGACCAAAAACATGAAAGAAATTTACAAAGAAGCCTAAGTCCCCCAAGCGCTTTCTCTTAGGAAGCAAGGCGTTTTTCAATCCCGCTCAGGGAGTGTAACTAAAGCACTTATCGCTGGCGAAACAATGTAATTCTGTTCCTCTGGCTAAAGTTATAGTGAAACCATCAATACTGCCCTCGTCTAAGGGGTTCAGTCCACAGTAACACAGACGCTTCTTCAGTCGAGTCAGAACTTCCCAGAGACACTTTAGTTTCCCATCGCTCCTTGTTAAGTCGGAGCGAGATATTTCTCTGGGATCCAATCCTGTGGTAACAAGTTCCCTCCGCCATCCCCACCCTCAAAAGGCTTAGGAAATCCCCCAATGGTCCCCTAAGAGACCTAACCTCTGGGAGGACTGGGCACCTTCCCCCTGCTAATACAGAAGCGATAGCGTTCCTTTATCAGGGAGCAAATTCCACCCACCTCCCAGAAGACCGGTGGGGTGTTCGTTTCCTCGACAGCGGGGTTTGGGGCCTGACGTGGTAGGGCGCGGGATGGGGAGAGGCTTGACCCAACAATGCTCCCGCGCGGGTCCGGGTTACCTTGCAGCGCGGCGGCGTCGGCCGCCTCCAGGTCGCGGTAGATGTGGCGCACCATGCCCGCGGTCTCCTCGTTGCTCTGCGTGTTGATGTCCCAGAGCACCAACAGCGCCCGGCGCCGGGCGAACTCCAGAGCGAAGAGGCGGCCCAGGCCGCTGCCGGCGCCGGTGATGAGGCACACCTGGCCCGCCACGCTCTTCTCCTTGGGCCGCACCAGCCAGCGCGCTGCGGCCAGCACGAACGCCCAGAGCACTTTGAAAGTGACCACGAAGAACTCCACCACGATGTTCATCGCGACGCCCGGGGCCCCGCACGAGCCAAGTGCCTGCGTCCGCGCCCACCCCGAGCCCGGCAGTCCGGCTCCCGGCCCCTGGGCGCTTGTCACAGAGGCCGGGACTAGAAGGCTGCGCCCCTCGCCCGCCTCCGAGGTGCCCGCCGGGCTGGAGTGCGCGGGGCCACTCCCGCCCGGGTTCGGCGCGGTGGCCCCGAACTGTGCCCGCCGCGGCAGTCACCCGGCCCGGCGCCTCCTGCCGGCAGCCGCCCGACTGTCCCGCAGTGCCCGGCCGGCCGGCTCCGCTGCAGTGGCAGTGACAGCCGCGAGTTAGGCGACGCGCGCTGCCCTCATGACCAAGCCGCTGCCGCCCGATAGTCCCCGGAGCCCGCGCGCCGGCTCCCTCTCACCCCGGGGGAGGGGTGCGTAGCGGAGGTGGCACGGGCCAGCGGGCCGCCGCGGGAGTTGTCAACTCGACCCAAGTTGCGAGAGGGTGGGAGAGTGGGGGTGCGAGGCGGCGGAGCGCCGGGAAGGGAAGACTCGATCGGCGCAGGCGAGCGCTGCCCAACGCCCTGCAGCTGCCCCCGAGGGCTCGCGTCCCCCTGCCCTGCACTCCCAGCGGCTGTCACTCCGGCAACGGGCTCCGCAGCTCAGCGCCGCTTGCAAGTCGGAGCGCTCCGGGCCGGCTCTGAGCGGGCTCCACGCTCCGCGCTATATAACCCACGACCGGGAAGAGCCCGCGGCAGCCTCGGCATCGGCCCTCCCTCCGCCCGGCCTCCCCGCCCCCGGGCGCACCCCGCCCCCGGCCCAGCCCCCCGCCCGCCAGCGGTCCGCGGAGCCGAGCGGGGTAGCCCTTCTCACACGGCCGTGGCCGCAACCTCAGCCCTCCTCGCACCTCCCTTCGCAGCTCACGCCCCCTCCCGTGGGGTGTCCCGGCCTCCGCCTGCCCATCTCGACGGTCAGCAGAGCCCCGGCCATCCTCCTCCAGCCGTTCGGTCCCCGCTGGTCCCTGGCTCGCCACTTTTCGTTAACCAGGGCACTCCGGACCGCCCCGCCTGCGATCAGGCGCCGCGAAGACAGCCCTGCGGGGCTGGAGCGACAAGGACCTCGCGGCGCGGCGAAGGGGGTGTAGTCTGCGATTACCGCGGCAAGGAACCGGGAGGGCGGCCAAAAGTGACTTCGAATTGCAGCTAGCCGTTTGGAACATGGCCCAAAAGGCTCTCATTTTCCTGGCTGGAACCGCTGCCGCGGTGCTTGCCTGCGGTCCCGGTCAGGCGTTGCCCTGCCGCCGGGCGGGCAAGGAGTGGTGTATGCTGGGATGTGTAGTTCGCCCTCGTGAAGCTTGTCTTGGGAACATTGTAAGGAGAAACCCGAGCCTTATCCTGTCAGCGCAGCCTGGGGATTAGGACCCCGAGTCGCCAAGGTGTCAGCACTCTTTGCTCTTGAGTTGATTAAAAAGTCTAATCAAATGCATATATTTTCTTCAAACAAGTTTTACCCAAAAGTTGGTTGGAAGAGGCTAAATCAGGGTGTTTTTAATTTGGCGTCTGCTAGGCGGCTTTTTAGTTCTGGATTCTTTTCGGGCTTATCCTAAGACACCTGTGAGTCGCGGGGCTTCGCTCTCGGTCTTTAAGTGGACAGTGCGCATGCGCCGACTTCCTCTTTTTCCGGTTGGAACCATGGAGGGTGTAGAGTAAGTTGCTTCTTGTTCTCCCGAGAATCCTTCTCCATCTTCAGAACCAGACACTTTTTGTGTCAGTTTTTCTCTTTCTGGATGTAGCTGGCACCTTTGCCCACCTCCGTGTTTGTTTGTGGCGTTCTGTGACACCAGTGGGGATCCGAGGCTAGGGTTGGGATGCAGGCGGCCTTAGGACGAAGGTTTTGGAGATTCTGGGAACAAGATGTCGGGGTGCAGTGTGTGTGGAATCCGTCGGTTGGCTGACAGCCCAATCCTCGGTAGAGGGCCTTTCGGGAGGCGCAAAACTTCTGAATTGGGTTTGTCCTTGGCTGGTGGTTGGCCCGGGCCTCCCTGCCGCTAGGCGTTTGCTTTCAACATGTGGATCCCGAGACTTGAACCAAGGTGGCGGTGGTTTGTTTTTTTTTTTTTTAAGCCTAAAGTGTGGGGATCAGTACCTTGCAGCAGACTTTCAGCTAGTACATTTTATTATGAGGCTGTTGGTGTGTTTTTTTGTTTTTTAATTAGTCCTCGGAGGCCGGACCCGTTGGCTGGAATAGGTAAAAGCGTATTGCTGTTGTCATACTTGGGATTGCATTTTAAGCAATGTGGTTGGTGTTAAAGGTTATTGACATGGAGTTAAAATGCGCATCGCACACTGTAGCAAACTAGAGCAAGTAAAGTTACGAGTGGCTAAAGCCAGTGAAGGATTTCTGTTAAACAACACACAGTGCACAGTTCGGGCGTAATACAGCGCTGTGAACTTTTTGAGCTATTGATAATATTTGTTGTTGGTTAACGTTAGAGAGAAGAAGAAGAAGGTTCCTGCTGTGCCGGAAACCCTTAAGAAAAAGCGAAGGAATTTCGCAGAGCTGAAGATTAAGCGCCTGAGAAAGAAGTTTGCCCAAAAGATGGTAAGTAAACTTTTTGAGGCACTAGGGTATAAGGAAACGCCTTGTTGGGATTGAGAATGAGGTG